TTTCCAGTTCCGGTCCCATCTGGAAAAGTCATACTCTTGGTGCCCCAGTCTACTTGAGGTCTCCACAGTTCTAACCAAGACATTCCCAAGATCAATGGGTGACCCACAATGGGTGCGACTAAGCACTTTAAAGTCTCTCGATGAGAGCCAATCCTCAACTCAAAAGCCTTTGTGTAATATTCCATGGGTCCCCCTCCTGCAGGCGATCCATCCAACTGTCTGAAAGCAATAGGGGTTTTTAGTCTCCGCACCCGCAGTCTCAGCCCATTCACCAGGACGGGGTTAATCAAACACCGGGTGCACCCAGAGTCTATTAAAGCTGTCAACTCCACCTTACGAGTAGTCCTCAGAGCTCTTATTTTCACCCCAGCCGTCATGGGACTCACCCGAATGTCCTTGTCATCTGAGTCTGACTTTGACTCCTCACACCTCAGGTCCTCTGCCTGCTTTCGGGCATGCCTTAAAGCAGGCGGCTGGAGTTTTCTGCCGGCTGCTCATCTTCCTGTTCACTTTCGAACATCAGCTGGATTGGGAACTGTTCCTCCTCTCCTGCTGCAGCAGTTCCTTTCTTCTCTGGTTTTGCCAGCTTTGTCAATTTGCTGGTCTGCTTAGGTTTCATGGCCAGCTTCTGGGCTGACTTTTTCAGGCAGGCAGATGCAAAGAGCCCCTCTTCTCCACAGTTGAAGCAGGGCTTTCCCACTGGCCGGGCCCCTACTCCAGTCCCCATGGCTTTCCCACTTCCCTTCTGGGTTGGCTGGCAGGAAGCAGTCGCTGCCTCCAGGTGGGTAGCTACCCCTGATCCTCGAACGGCTAGCCATTGAGACTCCATCACTGAGACGTGGGCTATCCATCCTTGCAGTGTTGTTGGGCATCCTCTCACCAACACCGTCTCCCATAGCTTGGGATTCAGCCCCTTCTGGAATTGCCTCACTTTGAAGGACTCCGGCCAATCATGGAGTTTAGCTGGGAGTTGTCTAAACCCTAAGGCATATTCAGTCACAGACCGGGTACCTTGCTTGAGCTCCGTGATAGCCTCTTGTGCCTGGGTACGAGCAGGGTTCCTTGAACCGCTCCCACAACACGGTCATAAACCCATTGAAATCTTCCAGCTCTGGTGCATCGGCTTCTTGCAGGTCAATTACCTATTCAGCCGTTCAACCCACCAAATAGCAGAACATGTACGTTACTCTCCAGGCATCACTCGAGAAGAGATGTCTGTGGCTTCCCATACAAATCCTGACTTGGTTCAGGAAACTGGCCAGCTGGTTTGGGTCTCCCCCATATGGCTTGTCGAGGCCCCATTGTTTCAACAGGTCATCTTCCCCTTTGGCCGGGTGACCCCAAGCCAATGGTCGATCACCTGTCCCCCAAGCCAGGGCCCCTAGGGTTCGGAGTCTCTCTCTCTCCCATCACCATGCTGACTCCTGGCCGTTGGTTGCTACCCCAAGTCCGGTCTGGTGGGTGGCCGACCTTGCCCCCCTGTTGTTAGGAGCCTCCCTAGCATGGCTGTCAAGGGCTTCAGTTCCTCCCTCATCACTCGCATCTCGCCACGGAGCACATACACCTCTCCCTCCAAAGCCTGGACCCGTTATTCTTGCCCCTACGGCTCGGTGGTCACATCCCCAATGGCCACAGACCATCTGGGTCAGTCTGGCTTCAGTGGTGGCAGTTCTTCGGTTGCCTCCCAAAATTCCAGCGGCCTTTGAGGTTCCCATATTTGGCCACACCGACACTCCATCCTTTTCATCACTACCTGGGCTTCTATCTATTGGGACGGGATCAGAATCTCCTCAATCTCTAGAGGAAGTGATGGCTCTTTTGTGATCCCGCCTGCAGCTCCCGCTTTGGTTTCCGTAGATTTGCCCTCCAGAATCTCCTCCAGGATTCCCTTCTCCTCCTTGGGCATGGTGATTCATGGGATTTTCCTCAGTAAGTCGTCTCCTCAGGAAAAATCTGATTGAAGGAGTTTCAGCAAAATGTCAGGTCTACGATGTTCAAATCCCAACGAAGAAAAATCTCTTGAAACTTATAATAAGTTCAAAAAGAAGTTCATTTATTAAGATGTACATGCAGCTTCAAAGCATTGCTGAAACTAAAAGCCCATGCTTTCCCACTCTACTTTTACCCTCTCATTTACCCCTCCTTCCCCTCAGCCAGTACTGGGTTCTCATGTTGGTACGACCTTGTACACTCCTGGCTTTAGATAACAGTCCATCTGAGTTAACGGTCTTACCTTCCTTGCTCCCCCCTCCCCCCTACTAAACAAATGGCAGAAACGAAGAAAGCAACTAATGAGCTGATAGATTGATTGCTGGAGGTTCTGACACTTTTGAAGTGTTAGCAATTTCCCCCAGCTTTGTGTCATCTGCAAATTTGATGAGTGCCCCTTCAATCCCCTCATCTAGGTCATTTATGAAGATGTGGAAGAGCACTGGGCCCAAGACAGAACCTGGAGGTACCCCACTGCATACTTCCCTCCATGTAGGTGCAGTTCCTTTAAGGACCACACACTGAGTGCCGTTGGTCAGCCAACTGCAAATCCATCTGGTAGTGGTACTGTCTATCCCACATTGTTCTATCTTGCCAAGAAGTAGGCTATGGCCTACTTTATCAAGTGCCTTACTAAAAACTAAGTATACTATATCCACAGCATTTCCTTGGCCCACTAATTTAGTCACTTTATCAAAGAAGACAATAAGATTTGTTTGGCATGACCTGTTCTTAACAAATCCATTCTGGCTTCTAGTAATCACCTTGTTCATTTCTAGGTGCTCAGAAACCCGCTGCTTGATTACCTTTTCCAGGATTTTCCCAGGTATTGATGTCAAGCTGATTGGTCTGTAATTTCCTGGATCCACTTTTTCTTCCTTTTTTTTTAAAGATTGGAACCACATCAGCTCTTTTCCAGTCCTCTGGCAGTTTCCCCCATGCTCCAGGAGCTCTCAAAGATTTCATTCAGTGGTTCTGAGATCACATCTGCCAGCTCCTTCAGTACCCTGGGGTGTAAACCATCCGGTGCAGGAGACTTGAACTCGTTCAGAGCAGCTAGGTGTTCTCTAACCAGTTCCTTACCTATTTTGACTTGCATTCCTCTTCTGTCTCCCACAGTGCTGATTCTGACAGATTGGACTATTTTTTCCTTTTGCATAAAGACAGATGCAAAAAAGGAATTAAGCCGTTCCCCCTTTTCCCTGTCACCTTCTTGCCATCTTCTCCCACTAGTGGACCAACCATTTCCTTGACTTTCCTTTGTTATTTTTGTCATTTGTTGCAAGTCTTAGCTCATTCTGAGCCTTAGTCTTCCTGACTCTGTCCTTGCAGATTTGGGCTATTTGCTGGTATTTGGCTCTAGTTACAAGCCCCTCTTTCCATTTTTTATACTTGTCCTTTGTATCCCTCAGCTTGTCAGAGAGGGATACAAAGGGATTGTTCTCGTCAAGTGTCTCTTGTTTTTCTTTCTCTGGTATTGTTTTTGTTTGGGTCTTTATTATCTCGTTTTTCAGAGTTTCCCAAACATCCTGAACCATTTTTCCCTCAAGGATTTCCATCTGTGGGATCCTTCCTATTCTTTCTCTTTTTGTTGGTCTCTTAAAATCTAGAACATTAGTCTGACTCTGTTCAGTTGCCCTTGCCTAAATCCTACCGTGACATGGTTACTCTTTCCCAAAGTTCCTACAACTTCCCCTCCCTCAACCACTTCATCTCTATTAGTAAGTATCCAGTCCAGCATAACTGACCTTCTAGTTCCCTCCTCCACCTTTTGGATGACTTCACTTAGCAGCTTCATCTTAAGAGAATGAAAAAGTTGAACTCTGTGGCACCCTGCAGGTTAGAGGCTTTGGATTTGAATCTCCCCTCCCATCACCCTTGACTGGAGCCGGCCATGAAGGAAGGAGATCTCCCATAACACTGAGCCCCTGAATCCCAATCCCCATAGGCTACCCCGACTAATGGCATTGATGGCCACTGAGAGATGAAGGAGAACCATGATGGATATACTGCCCGCTCCCTATTCTGGCTCTGCCAGACGATATCAGAAAGGGTATTCAGCGCCATCTCCATACTAGGGCTTCTTACTGGCTTGAACCCTAACTGAAATGGGTAGATGTAGCAGCCAGCAGATGGAAATTCATTTTCCTATAGAGACAAACAGGCATCCTCTTTACTTAGCTCCTTTGGCAATCGTTTCCATCTCATCTGTGCTGCAATACGTGCCTGGTGTATATTTCCTAGGTGTCCTCCAGTTCCATCATAACTTACATCATGATAGTTGCGTTGCAACCACCACAAGGTTCAGCCCAAACCCATCCTGGCAAACCCTTGTTATCATTTTGTGCTTGTTTACACAGTGATCAAAGGATGCTAGTAATGTGATGGAATATGAATAAGATCAGCATTAAAAGAGCAATTTTTGAAAACAGAATAACTGTTGAAAGGGTATTAAACTTAATTTCAGCCCTAAAGGATTTATCATGGGCAGCCAATTTCTGATGCAGCCTGGTTTGCTACCTGCTTTGTCCTTGTTGGAACTCGACCATTTCAGGCTGTTGCTGGATCCACCCCACCCTGCATGAAGTCCATTTCCTAAGCTTGTGTTGGAAAGGGCAGTGGACCGCACATATGATAGTATGTGGGACTGCCAACCTTTTCTGGTGTCTAGCACTTTTGCATAATCTGGCCAAATTCTTGCAAGATTTCACAGAGGTCCAGTGAGATTTCACATGAAGTTCCTGAAAGTTTACAAGATCTTCAGCGACAAGGTCGCTGAAATTTTGTAAGTGAACTTTTCCAATACTTGGCCAATCTGATGCAAGACCTCTTGTGAGATTGCTGAAATGAGATTTCCGTGATTTGGAGGAGCATGTCTTGGGTGCTAATTGAATGTGCTGATGCCTCCCTGTTGCAGCCCATGCCCTCCAAATCCCTCTGCCCTTTGCTGCCACCTTGTGCCAGCCCTGGCGGTTCCACCTGTCATGGTTTCTTTCTGTTTTGCTTTTCAGGGTGTTAATGGGGAAGAGGTCGGATGACAGCTGGGACTGTGGTCATCACCGGCGGAATATTAGCAACTGTCATATTACTGTGCATTATAGCTGTTCTCTGCTACTGCAGGCTTCAGGTATTTGGATTCACTTGCTTCTCGGGAACAACGTGGGATGATTACGAGGTGTTATATTATAAGCACGCTCTGTCTGTTTACCTTGGAATTTGGGGGAGACCTTTCCATTTGACCAGGATTTTGCATGATCAGAAACTAGACTAGGTTTGTGTAAGATAAACTCTTGTGGTCTTGTATGAGGTGCTGCTTTTAAAAATGTTCCGGTGAGCCAGATCGGCTGGGGGGTTCCTTTTATCCCTAAAACTATGCAGCATTCTGTGAAGAGAATGATATGCGTGTGTGTGGGACTGATGAATGCAGTTTCATAAAGGGTTACTACAACATAAGGTCTGATTCACCAGCTTGCTCTTTCCATGTGGAGCGGACTACCCGTGTGCTCTGCCAGATGAATGAAGGCTTCACTTGCCCAGCTGCCAGAAGGCCTTGCAAACTTGCCAAAAGCGAGACTCTGATGGTGGGAGTTGCTTTGGAGCACTTCTGGCAGCCTAAGGAATGTGAAAATCGGCATTTGCTGCTGCCACTCACAGCCAAACGACGACGACAGAAAAATCAAACCCTTTGTGTGCAGAACATCCTAACCCCAGTCCCTGTTCCTTCTTTAAAAAGTGTGCATAATCCGTGTGTGCGTGCAGTGTGTGTGTGTGTGTGTGAAGAGCTGCTGCTGGGCTCCATTTGTAAGGCAGGGTCATCTGTTCCGGTGGCATCTTGAGGTGCTGCTTTTAAAAATGCTCCAGTGTGCCAGATCGGTTGGGGGGCTCCTTTTATCCCTAAAACTATGCAGCCACAAAACCCTCACATGCTTCTCAGACCATTCAAAAAGAAAGTTCCTCAGGCCTGTGGATGTGAAGGATGAAGGACAATTCCAAGCGCTCGGCTGTGGAGGGCAGTCTGAACCAAGAGCAGTCAGAAACGGAAGGCAAACTGGTCAACAACGGTAGTGGTTCAAATTGCAAAATAGCTTTCCAGAATAATCTCAAGTTAAGGAGGCACCCTACTTACCCTCAAAGTGCTTGGTTGCATTACTTCTGCTGGAGTAGAACCAGAGGAGCAAGGTACTTTCCGTGAGAAAGACAAGTGAGTAAATGCTTAGAGGACCACTGGAGGAATTGACCTAGCACTTCACACTTCACACTTCTGAGAGAGGAGCTAGGGAAGGCAAAGCAGGGTGCTCAGGACAAAACTGAAGGCAACATCACATGACCCAAAGATACCTAAGCAATCCAGGTGACCAGACTTAGGAGAGATGTCAAAAAGATAAGTTTCCCAAGTAAACACTATTTGAGTGGCTCTCACCTTAGTGAAGTGACACGGAAGAGCTGTCCACTCCCTGAGAAGACCACAGAATGCTTTCAGCAGCTAATAGGAAATCTCGGAGAAGAAAATGGAATGAAGAAAGCTTTGTTACTCCCTTCGTACTGAAAACCAGTCTTTGGGTCTGGCAAAAGGGGCATTTGGTGCCCTTCTCAACAATGTCAATAGTTTTTACCAGCTCGTCAAGAAAGGAGGGGGAAAGAGGAAGAATAACAATCTGGCTCAGAAGAAAATGTGAAAGTCCTTTGAGGACAAAGATGTCATTGGGACTTTGTCTTTAGCAGCAAGAACTGTGTGCTGGTGGAGAATAGTCAGGCTACTAATAGAAGCGAATATGTGTAGCTCAGGGTTGAACTGTGGAGTCCTTGGGGTTCTCTGA